CGAAAAAGGGATGGCATATGTCAGCCGATGTCGCGAACTGCGCGACAAGCTTCTTCGATGCGGAGGGTCAATCTCTGAAGACGCCTTCGTGACAGTCATCATCGGCGGCCTCGGTCCTCAATGGCGCGCAACAAAAGCCATTCTCCGAGCCCACGGAAGAATCTCCGAAGCAGCGCTCTGCGCCGAAATACATGCTGAGCAGCAAGACATGGACCTGCAAGAAGAACGACACAAGAGAAAGACATCAGTACCGGAATTCGCGTTTCACACTCAGCGATGATACAACAACAACAGCAACCGACAACAACCAAAACCCGTACCTCCGTTCTGCCATATCTGCAAGACGTCAGGGCACCCGCGCACACACTGCCCGAATCGACAACAGTCAACGCCACAACAGCGACAGCTTCGACCTTCAAGTAGCCAAGTCACTTCAACACAAGCAAATCCTACGACCCAGGTTCAAGCTTCAACAACATCAACGGGACAATCTGCACAAGGCACAAGAAACATCATCAGCTGTATGGCAAAACTGACCGACTCCTGCATCACCGAATCACCACCTCATTACTCACCGGAAGAACAGCTTGACAACAGCACGCCCCGCCGCGAGTTACTGCAGCCGAACCCGACATACGCCGCTATCGCCCAGAGTGAGCCATCCGGGAAGGACACATGGTTCTTGGACAGTTGCTGCGGACAGCACATGTGCTCTTCAGGACGCTTCGTACAACGAGAGTATCAACTTCAACGAGAAGTAGTCATCACCGTCGCCAACAACCAAAACCTGCGCACACGACGACAAGGAGTGGTACAACTTCAGTCACGAGAAACAAGTGTGATTCTACAAATGACCAAAGTCTTAATCGCAGAAGGTCTCGGTTACAACTTACTGAGCGTCAGTCAGTTGATGGCGAAAGGCATTCACCTCGAAGCAGACAGCACCACCCAGGAGTTCAAGCTGTACCACGGAAAAGGCGGCCTCTACATCGGAAAGGCAATCCTCAAGAACAACGTCTTCGTTCTTGACTTCGTACCAGACCTCGGCACCGCTGACAGCGACGGCATCGTCAGCTTTGCTCCTTGGACACATCCTCCAGACCTTGACCCAAACTTCAGCCCCGGCGGCTTCTGGCACTCACACACCATTCCTGAAACAGAGAGAACAAGGGCGTTAGCAACAATCCAACAAACATCGGCAGCAGCAGAGACAATATCGGCAGCAGCAGAGACAACATCGGCAGCAGCAGAGACAACATCGGCAGCAGCAGAGACAACATCAGCAGCAGCAGAAACAACATCAGCAGCAGCAGCGACAACATCGACACCAATCGCTGGTCCCTCAACGGCACCAATCTTCATCGACGATTCGCCACCGACACCCGCACAACAGTTAAAACCGGCACCACGAGAAGTCCACCGAAGCACCAACGTCACTGCCGGCTTCTACTCCAACTCGGATCTGTATCGACGGTCACCCGGACATCGCGCCACTGAAGGTACCTGGCACGCAAGAATGGGACATCCAAGCAACACAGTGTTAAACAACACAATAAGAGCAGGAGTGCTCGACACGCCATGAAAAGGAAGAAGCTGCGGCAAATCGACGTCGCGAACGCCTTCCTCTACGCACCCGTTGACGCAGAGATCTTCGTGGAACTACCGCACGGCACCAATGGAGAGCCGAACAAAGTCTGTCAACTACTGAAATCGCTCTACGGGATTAAGCAAGCCCCGCGGCTATGGCAGCAGTATCTACACGCCCGTCTCATCCGCATTGGATTCAAGCAACTGCCCCACGATCAAGGGATGTACCGGCTTACGAAGAACAACGACTACGTCTTACTAATCGTCTATGTAGACGACCTCCTCTACATCGGCTCGACCGACGACATCACCACCTGGTTCGAAGGGGAGCTGCAGCGGGATCTCACGCTCACGGTTTCATCTACAGTCACACAGTACCTTGGGCTCAACATCCGAGAAGAAGAAACTGCAATCTACCTCAGCGCCGAAAAGTACGCCGACACCATCGCCAAGCGCTTCGCTCTCACACCGACCGCGATCTCCACGCCATACCGCTACACGACAGGAACTGACAAGGGAGGATCTACTCTACTGAAGCCCGCCGGCATACGCGACTACCAGAGAAAGCTGGGCTGTCTTCTCTTCGCAGCTGTCACCTGCCGCCCCGACCTCTCATATTCCGCAAGCCAGCTCGCTACCTACCTCAAAAGGCCTGAAGCAGAACACCTGGCGGAGCTCGACCGCGCTCTTCACTACTTCGTCAGCACTCCAACGATCGGCCTAACGTATCACAGGAATGCAACTACACCGACTAAGCTAATCGGTTATGTCGATGCCGATCACGCCGGCGATTCCGACAATAGGCGATCCCGCACCGGCTACATCTACCGCCTCGAGCCTATCGGTCCTATCTCCTGGCAGTCGAGTAAGCAAGAACTAATCGCCCTCTCATCAGCTGAAGCAGAATATATCGCACTCTGCTCAGCCACCAAGGAAGGACTTTACCTTCGCGAGCTGCTGGAAGAAGCGAAGCTGGCCGAGTTACCCAACTTCACTCTGTTCTGCGACAACCAATCTGCAATTCGCATCGCCAACAAAAGTGGCTTCGCGAACAGAACGAAACATATCGCCCTGCGATATTTCTTCGTGAAAGACGAGATCGAGAAGGGGAGACTTGAACTATCCTACTGTCCCACGTCCGAGATGGCAGCCGACTATTTGACCAAGAAGCTCGGAAAGCAGAAGTTCGAGTACTGCATGCTGCTGACTGGACAAGGCCACGTCATCAGCAGCGACACTCCAGAAGCGAAGGGGAGTGTTGGAAACAAGTAATTCCTAAAGCGCCTCTGTCGTGTCGAAACATCACACCAGAAGCGAAGCGAGTCATATCGAGGCACGAGCGAGTCAACCCTCGGAGGTTGAAAGAGGTTGCCGGAGGTTACGCGAAAGTCAAAGGTCAGCGACCTTTGACCTGACAAGTACAGTACGACAGCAAGGACACACAACCGACTCGTTACAGAGCGGTTGCCCGAGTCGTTACTGTATCGAACCGCAACAGCAACAGTAAAGTAGTTACAACTGCATCCTTTCATATTCCTTGTACTCATATATAAACGCTTGTATTCCCTTGCTTTAATCAACTTACTTTGCTCTCACACACTAGTGCAAGGTGGTTCACAAGTCTTCATTAAACGCTTCCGCTATTACAATTATCCTACCCCGAATTTACCCCTGCAAAGATCCTAAGGGCTTTTTCTCAGCCCAACATGTAGTGGGGTAGCACTAGGGGGTACAGAATTTCTCTCGACATTCTTCTTGTACCCCTCGACCTAATCTCATCATCCTTAGCCTAAGTTCTAAGAATGCGCAAGGAGGGTATTGCGAAGGTTGTGGCAAGAAATACCAAAGAAAAATTATGGGACATAAACACCTGATGACCCGAAGTTATGAATATGCTCCTAAGTTTATTATATGGAGTTTTTAAAGAAAAATAAATATCGTTGACAATGTGTGAACCACATCAGCACTGGGATGCTTGGACATTTGGCCGGAGATTAGAAAGCGCTTCCAATAAGGCTGCTAATGTAATGGCTGAACTTACGACTGTATGAAACCTTGAATAATCTTGAATCAAGTCTCAAGGAGTTTCTTTCGGAACACCAACTGCCATGTCATCCTCTTGTGATCGCCAGCTGTATTGCATCAGAATCCATGCAAGCCGACTCGCACGCCGCCGTGGATTTGTTCTTCCCTGGCGTCTCGAGTGCCGAGATCCGCTTTTCGTGCCACTCCCTGCTTTTCCGCCTCCGCTCCGCACCAAATCACATTCCCCGCCGCCTATACTCCCTTGACACCCCCCCATCAATTCCGCCCCTCCCCACCATTTCCATGCGAACATGTCCCGATTCTTTTCACGAAGCGCTGCTCCACTGTTGCTGCTTTCCCTACCGAGTCGCAGCAGTCTGCGGTCGTCATCGTCGATTGGAGGGCAGGACCAACCCTGCCCCACCTTTCCCCTCCATTCTCCCCTATGTTTGTCTCCCTTTCCTAGCCTTCCCTTACATTCAGCCCCCAATCCCGGGCGCTTGGAAGTCAACGAGACCCCTCGAGCGAACCAACCCTCAATCGCGCACCAATCAGCCCTCGGGGCTGTTCTCTTCCGCCAAACCGCAGCATGCCTTCCGCCCCTCCTGCCCCTCTCCCGACGTTTAGATCCACCCTGATTTCTATCCACCTGGCATCCTCACCGCACGATGCAGTCAAGTTGAGTAAAGCGCTTCGACGAACCCTCCTCCCCTCACCTGTGTTCTCGCCGGTCGCCTGTCTCGATCCCATCGGCCCCTCATGCAATCCCCCCAACTGCATCATGCCTTCCTCTTTCCACCAACCACAAATTTGCCATACCACTCGCGTGCAACTTCGATGCATCTTCCGCACTTGCGGACACGAGCGAGCATGGTGGCGGTGTTCGCTACTTCCCCCTACTCCCCAACTCAAGTTGAAGGCAGCACAGCAAAGCGCCCCTCTCCTCTCCTCTCCTCTCCTCTTCTCTCCTCTCCTCTCCTCTCTCCCCCTTGGTTGGTGTGCAGGCCGCCGACATACCATCCTCGCGCTGATCATCCCAAAGTGCCCCTCAACGCCCACGTAACTCGCCATTTGGTTCGAAGGAAATTGAAAGACCATTTGTTCTTGTGCTTAGCTCAGGCACCTAGAGGAAACCTGTACTGCAGTGTGCGGTTAGTCCTAGGGGAAAGCTGTAACTCGCAGCTTCTAACCCCCAAGGATGAACCGACGGCCAGCACGTAGTGCCCGTGCTGACTGCCGACTCGCATTGCCGTAAAAAGCGGAAACTACCTCGATGATCAGCCGCCTCGTTGAGCAGTCAGCATCCTGAGGTGCTCCTAAAGCTAGACCGCTCATTTCCACTTACCAAGTTACGCATTAGCCAGCCGTCTGATTGAACGTACTAGAAAATGACCACCATGCGGCCACTTCCCACAATGCTCGCTCGCTCACGTTCCCATCCACAAGCGTGTCTGCCCGTCTCACCTTTCGCGATCCGCAGCCTGCCAACCGTCCTCCTCTGCTTGATCGCTGCTCTCCCACGTCCCGGAACCGCATCCGCAAACGCCATCGACGATAGCTGGTACAGCCGTAATGTTCGCTCCGATCCAAACCTCTCCGCAGTACCGAACGCCGTCACGCCGGCCGCCGCGCAATCGTCCATGGACGCATGCTTAGCCAGAACCGCACCCTTTGTCAACGAGTCGACCTATCAGCGACCGCCGTTCCCGACGCTTTGTCCATCCCAGGGGCTTTTTGAAGTGTGCTACGTGAAAGGTGAGCTCGTGACCAAAGTAGAGGCTGGATCAGCAAATGCTGTTGGGAGTTCTGTCCTACGTGAAATGGTGGTAGTAGCTGACGTGTGGATGAACAGTTTTTTTGGGGGATTAAGGTGACTTTTGAGGCGCCGCATAAATGCTGGTAGCATCTGAGGTGTGGTCGAACAGTTGTAAGGTGTCATCAGTTGGTATTAAGGTGTCAGCAATCAAGACCAGCCAGGTCGAGAAAATGGGAACGATTGTCAAGTTGTCCAGAGGCGAGTTACGGCTTTTCTGATCTATACATGACGTGCGCCGCTGGTAAGTCTAAGAACAAGAATCTGGTAAAGTGCACAATATAGTTTCTATTCAGGAGTAAGAAGAAGAAAGTCGAGTGTTGATCATTCCCCCCTGTCCTCTCCGCACTTCGTGTCTTGTGTCTGCTCGTTACCGCAATGTCCAGGGCCCATAGCCTTCAACATTACTCCTACGTTCATCGGCACCAGATGGAAAGGATGGGGGACATCACTTGCGTGGTATGTTAAAACCCGTGATTAAGTTCAGTCTCGCCGAAGTGTTGCGCTTTGATTACTGTTAGCATCGAGACATCAACCATGAGGGAAACTTAGGACATGCCTTCGCAGCTCCCACCACGTCGAAGGGGGAGACGTAAAGTATCGTTTTGGATTAAGATAACAATCGGCTCGACTCCTGGTTCCTGATGGCATTTGTTTTGTACCACGACAATGCAACAAGCATTTAAGGACTTGATGTATTCTCAACGATTCCTTATCTACTCTGGATGCAGGTTCGGGAACTACATTGGCGGACTGCCTGAGAAGCGCCTCAACACTCTCATAGACCTGATTTTCAAAAAAGACGGGCTCAACTTCAACATCGTCCGTTACAACATCGGAGGGGGTTTCAACGCGCGTTTCAGTCCCCAGTTCCTCACCGGAACAGCTACGGACTGGCGGGGTATACCAGGATTCAGACCCACACAAGCTGGAACCTACAACTGGCAAGCAGACAGGCGTCAGAAAGCCGTTCTTAGGGGGGCACGGAGTCGCGGAGCAAATATCTTCGAAGCTTTCTCCAACAGCCCTCCCTGGTGGATGACTTACACGCGTGACGTGGCAGGAGCCACAAATGCAAACCACACCAACTTGCGGCCGGAGCACGAGACGTCCTTTGCGAACTACTTAGCGGACGTCGTGCACCGATTTGCCAAAGATCCGAAGTGGAACCTAACGTTTGATACTGTGGACCCTTTTAACGAGCCGCTGGAAGGGTTTTGGAAGACAGGAGCTGCGCATGAAGGATGCAGCTTCCAACCTCCTGAAATGGGACGCGTGATCCAGAAAACCACCATGGCTCTTAAATCGAGGGGGCTTAGAACGAAGCTGGCTGGAGTTGACAGCTGGTCTTATCACACGACCGAGAATCTTCCCAAAGTAGCTGGGAGAATGTTGCTCCAGCGAATCAACATTCATTCTTATCTCGGGACACCTCCTGACGGTGTATCTCACCCTCGCTGGACAAACCTACGATACGCTCGGATGCGGGACATGGCTAAGAGGATGAAGAAGGAGGTTTGGGTGTCAGAAGGCGGGCCAATCGGATTCGGGGGACATCCGTTTGACGTAACGCTTTATGTGGCTCGGCAAGTCATTGAAAGCATCAACATTCTCGAGGCCTCAGCGTATGTGTACTGGCAAGCCGTCGATCCACACCCTGGATGGACGTTGATCAAGATCCCTTGGGAGTATCCGCTGCGAAAGGCAGTTTCCGAATTGCAAGATCAGGGGATTGTGGTGGCGAAGCGTTATTGGGTGTTCAAGCAATTCTCGAAATTTGCACCGCAGGGGAGCAGGCCGCTGAAAGTCCCGTTCTCGTGCTGGCATTCTGTCGCTGCTTTCTACAACGAAAAGTACATGTTCGTCAGCGTGTTTTTCGTCAACCAGAAGGCGAATAAAGTGAAGCTGAGCTTCGGATTGGACGGGTTCAGGACAAATGTTGGGAATCCAACGAGGGTGGTTGCGCATAGGACGACTTGGCAAGACTCGTACGCTGAAGCGCTTATATCGAAAGGTAAGTCTTCTGTTACAGTGACTTTGCAGGGGCAAAGTTTCGTGTCCCTCGTTTTTACCAACATTGCGTTGCGTTGAAGTGATAGGAATGGGGGCGGAGCGGTTTGGGTAAGATAATCCCGAGGCTGTTCTTGCTGTGATTACTGATACAGGAGAACATAACTCCACCTATGATGACGGGATTCTTGATACGAGTATTTATTTTAGATATACAATTGACTGCCATTGTGATGAATTGTATCGTGTAATTTCTAATTCAGCTGTTGCAAGTGAAGATGCCCAGCTAGCATACATTTTCTTAGGGCGCGTTCTCTCGATCGAAGAAGGGACAGCTACAGTGCGTTTGTAGCATCGTGATTGACAGGGTAACCTGATTTTGAGATGGATTGCGAATGTACAGCAACTGGTGCCGAACGATATTGTCACCTCCGCTGGTGACGATCGACGTGCCTTCGTGGCCACACCGATCTCGACTTTGATAGGATCTAGTATTTCCCCCCGTGGAACTTCAAACCGGGTTGCACTTGCACATTCACCTGGGTGGGCATCAGGGGTTATCCCTAGATGTTAGAATATATATTTATATATATTTATGTACCTGCCTGTAGCTGTAGCTTTAGTGTAGTTATAAACTCTTTGTATTGGTGGTGCACCTCCTTTGTCTCCTATTTGTACCCTCGAGCCTATAGTGAACCCCCCTTCTTTCTCGACATTCCACTCTCTCGCCACTCTCCTAGGTTCCTAACCTAGCCTAGCTTCTTGACATGGTACAGAGCAATAATCGGTCCTAAGGACCTATTTTTTTTAGGATCATGGGTCCCGCGTTTCGCTCTCTGCAGGCCCCACTCGATTCGCGCTCCGAAGGCATACTCGTCGCGCCCCGTGCGCCCTCCTTCCCGTCGCCCGCGGCCCCACGTTTCGGCGCCCCGCGGGTCACCCGAGTCGCTCCCCGTGCGCCCTCCCGTTCGTCGCGCCCCGCTGCGCCCTGCTCTGCCTGTTCGTCGCGCCCCGTGCGCCCTCCGATTCGTCGCGCCCCGATGCGCCCTACTCTGCCCGCGTCGCCCTGCCCGTCGTCCGCGCCAACGCCCGCACCTGCGCCAGCACTTCGCGGCCAGCGCCAGTGCGGAACGCAGCGCCTGCGTGTGCGCAAGCCGCGAAGCGCCAGCGCTGCGCCAGCCGCGAGGCGCCAGCGCCTGCGCCATCCGCGCACGCCAGCGCTTGCGCCAGCAGGGGATGCCGGCGCCGGCAGCTCCGTATGCCGCCCCCCCTGTCAAACTATATGTGCTGCATATTGTCTAGGCTGTAGTGGGGTAGCCCATATGGGGTACAACCTAGTTAGGGTTTACTACTTGTACTCCTGCATCCTGTTAGTTCAAGCATTCCTGCTGCTAGATTCTAACATGGTTTCAGAGCACTAAGGTCCGTAGGACCGTTTTTTTTTTTTCGGGCCCACCTACCGCTGCGGTTACCGCGCTACCCCACGTAGCCTTGCCTTGCCTTGTATGCCTTGCCTTGCCTTGCCTTGCCTGCGCGCTGCCCCTAGAGGCCCGTAAGGCCCGCGCGCCGCCTCTACACGCCTGTCGGGCCCGCACACACGCTGCTACCGCGCGCTGCCCGCACCGAGATCGCGCAGCCCGCCCCGAGTCGCGCGCAGCCCGCTGCAGCCACGCGCAGCCCGCACCGAGCCGCGCGCAGCCCGCTGCAGCCGCGCGCAGCCTGCACCGAGCCGCGCACAGCCCGCTGCAACCGCGCGCAGCCCGCACCGAGCCGCGCGCAGCTCGCAGCTGCCGCGCGCAGCCCGCGCCGAGCCCGCGCAGCCCGCGTCGAGCCGCGCGCGGCCTGCTACGGCCTCGCGCAGCCCGCGCGCGGCCCGCAGCAGCTCGTGCCGAGCCGCGCGAGGCCTGCTCCTGCCTCGCACGGCCCGCGCGCGGCCCGCAACAGCCCGCGCCGAGCCGCGCGCGGCCCGCTACTCCCTAGCGCGGCCGCGCGCGGCCCTTTGCCTCGGCCCCGACCTGCCGCTGATGCGGCCCCGCCCAGCAGCTGCCATGGCCTCGACCTGCCGCTGATGCGGCCCCGCCCTGCAGCTGCCACGACCCCGACCTGCCGCTGACGCGGCCCCACCCTGCTACTGCCGCTGACGCGGCCCCGCCCTCCAGCTGTTTCGGCCCTGCTCTGCAGCCGGTTTTGCGGCCCCGACGTCGCCGCTGTCGTGCGCCTACTCGAGCGCCGGCCCTGCTCTCCCAGCCTTTGGTGAGCGCCTGCCTGCCTGCCTGACGGCCTGCCTGTCTGCCTGCCTGCCTGCCTGCCTGCCGGCCTGGCTGCCTGCCTGCCTGCCGGCCTGCCTGCCTGCCTGCCTGTCTGCCTGCGTGTCTACTTGCCTGCCTGCCTGCCTGCCTACCTGCCTGCCTGTCTGCCTGCCTGCCTGCCTGCCTGCCTGGCTGCCTGCCTACCTGCCGGCCTGCCTGCCTGCCTGCCTGCCTGCTTGCTTGCCTGCCTGCCGCGCCTGCCTTGCCTGCGCTACTGCTACTGGCAAGTGGCCAGATGCAGCTCCAGCGACATTCACGCGAGCCTCTGACGCCTCAGCAGCTTAGTGAGTGGTATACTAGCTGGGGTTGTCGCGGTAGCCGTCGTAGCTGTCGCCCTGGAGCTGGTCAGTTGGGAGCGTCTGGCAGTGGCCAGCTGCAGCTGCAGGGACGTCCACGTGAGACACTTACGCCCCGGCAGCTCCAGGAGTGGTACGCTCAGTGTAGCAGGTCTACGCGTACAGTCCGCTGCCCGTACGTCATTCGCACAGGTGCTAGGACTGGTCAGCCTTGTGGGACGCTTGGTCACACACAGTCCCGCTGCTTCGCCCGTCTGAGCGACGACTGGCGTACAGTGTTTGGCGACGAGGCTGAGCTCCCCACCTGGCTGGAGCTGCATAGACAGAGGGTAGATATCTTTGCGCTTGACTATGATGCTATTCTCACTGCCATGTATGCATTGTCTACTAGTGCTGACCGTGCCTGTTGCCTGTGCGTACCGCCTGACCCTGGTGAGGCTGCTGCCCTAGGTGCTAGTGCGTCTCCTGCTCTAGGTGCTGGTGAGGCTGCTGCTCTCGGTGCTAGTACGTCTACTGCTCTAGGTACTGGTGAGGCCGTGGCATCAGGTGCTGCTGTGTCTGCTCTCTCTGGTACTGCGCCCACTGCGGTCTCGCACACCTTCACCCTTGACTCAGGAGCTTCCCGCTCCTTCTTTCGCGACTGCACCGCACTCACGCCGCTCCGTCGGCCAGTCCCGGTCTCCCTGGCGGACCCCTCTGGGGGTCCAGTCCTTGCCCACTATTCCACGGTTCTGCCGTGTCCGGCCGTCCCGTCCGGCTCGCTGTCAGGTCTTTACCTCCCCTCGTTCTCTACGAACTTGGTGAGTGGAGCTGACCTCCAGGATGGGGGGGTTGACCAGTTCACTCCTGCGAGTCAGCGAGTGACTCACTGTACGTGTGCTAGGACGGGCCGGCACTTGGCCACGTTCACCCGTGCACCTGGCTCGAGTCTGTACACACTGACCACTGAGTCCCCTCAGGTAGCTGCGTCTGCGTTTGCGTCTGCGTCTGGTCAGCTGGCGGCCCCCTGCGAGTGTCGCGCTTTGTCGCACGACACTCTCCTGTGGCACCACCGCCTTGGTCACCCCTCCTTGCCTCGCCTGCGTAGCATGCACTCTCGCTCCCTGGTCTCTGGTCTTCCCAGGTCCCTGCCTGCCCTCCCTCCCTCGCCTGCGCCGCCCTGCATTCCTTGCGTCGAGGGGCGGCAGCGCGCCGCTCCTCACTCCTCCTCGTTTCCTCCCACAGAGGCTCCACTGCAGACGCTCCACCTGGACGTGTGGGGCCCAGCCCGCGTCCAGGGACAGGGCCGCGAGCGGTACTTCCTGCTGGTCGTCGACGACTACACGCGTTACACCACGGTCTTCCCCTTGCAGAGCAAGGGGGACGTCCCTGCTGTTTTGATCCCCTGGATCCGCGCTGTTCGTCTCCAGCTCCGCGAGCGGTTCCGGTCGGACTTTCCTGTCCTGCGTCTGCACTCTGACAGAGGTGGTGAGTTCTCCTCCGACCTCTTGGCAGCCTACTGTGCGGAGCACGGCATCACCCAGTCGTTCACGCTTCCGGCCTCTCCGCAGCAGAATGGGGTTGCTGAGCGCCGCATTGGCTTAGTCATGGAGGTCGCTCGTACCTCCATGATCCATGCGGCTGCCCCCCATTTTCTGTGGCCGTTTGCGGTCCGGTACGCCGCGCATCAGCTCAACCTCTGGCCCCGTGTCTCCTTGCCGGAGACCTCGCCCACACTGCTGTGGACGGGGAAGGTTGGCGATGCGTCGCGTTTCCGGGTCTGGGGTGCTCGTGCCTTTGTCCGCGATACCACCGCGGACAAGCTCTCCGCCCGCGCTGTTCCCTGTGTCTTCCTTGGCTTTGTCCCTGACGCGCCTGGTTGGCAGTTTTACCACCCCACCTCGCGCCGTGTCTTTGCGTCTCAGGACGTCACGTTCGACGAGTCGGTTCCCTTTTACCGTCTCTTCCCCTACCGCACTGCCTCGCTCCCCCCCCCCGCCGCTCTTCCTTGCTCCAGGTGCTCCCCAGGTAGACCCCCTCCCCGCTCCCGGTCCTGCTCCTTCAGGTGTTTCTCAGGTAGACCCTCCTCCCTTGACTGCGCCGGTTGAGGTCACTGGTGACTCAGGTCCTCCTGCGAGTGGTCCTGCTCGGGGTGCTGAGCCTGGGGGTGCGGAGCCTGGGGGTGCTGAGTCTGGGGGTACTGAGCCTGAGGGTGCGGAGCTTGAGGGTGTAGAGCCTGGTGGTGCTGAGCCTGCGTGTGAGGGGTCTGGGGGTGCTGAGCTTGGCGGTACTGACGCTGGAGGTTCAGGAGCTGCTGGAGGGCCTAGTCCTGGTGGTGCTGGAGCTGGAGGTCCTGGAGCTGTTGAGGGTGCTCGCGCTGGAGGTTCTGGAGTCGCTGGAGGTACTGGTGCTGAGGGTACTGACACCGGAGGTTCTGGAGCCGTTGGGGGTGCGGGCGCTGAGGGTTCTGAGTCTGCTGTTGCGCGGTCTCCTTGGA